TTGGGATGAACCCCCTGTAACACTGCCTTCCAAGAAAAGACAAAGTGGTCAATGCAAGAGCACAACAGGCAGCCTTGGACAGGGCAATCAATGCAAGAAAGAACCTTGCCCAGGGCCTTATGCAAATAGAAGCACAGCCTCAACCTAGGGAGGAGCATGCGCAAAAGATCAATTGGAGCTAAAGCCCTCGCAGCTATCTCAGCTGCAGACAGTAAATACATACTGATGAACAGCTCACATTTCCCGTGAATTCTTAAAACGGGTTCCATCTTAACAGCCAGTTTAAAACTCTCCATGGGATCTGGAGTTCAGCACAGAGGAAGAAATATTAGGGAGAAAGTTTATGTCAGTAAAAAAAAAATTCTTATTTCTTAAAAATTGGTAGAGCTGAATTCTACTAACACGTCAGAAGGCTAAGTTTTAAGTGTACTCTCATTCGTGAGTAGTTAATAGAAGTCTAAGGAGCACATGCAATCTTAGGCTGTTCTTGAACAAAAACAAAAGAAAGAAATGTAGGAAAAATAATGCAAGGTATATAATTAGTTATTCTCAGATTAAAAACTCAATTATCAATTTTGTGCTTGAATTTGAAGTAGGAACAGTTTTTCTTTTAAAGTTAATGTCTCTGTCTCCAAAAATCAGTCTAAATTCTGATTAGGATGCATGCCAATTTTGAAAATTACTTAACAGACAATGTTAATACACAAAACTCTACCTGTGCAAAACGGTTCTAAAGTCTGGTCATGCAAGGGGAACTACAAATGCCTCATGGTAAGTCTTCAGAGGAGAATTTGAGCGCAATTTTTTTCTCCCAATATATTAAATTCTTTTGTATCTCAACTGTACCTTATTTTAAAAAGCTTTTCATAAGTTAAAAGTATTTAAACATGAATTATAATGTCTTAAACTATAACATAAACATTAACAAGCAAAAAGATCTAGCAAACAAATGCCAGCACTTTTGTCTTCTACTCAGAGACAGTTTTATCAGACACTCAACAAACACGTCTAAGTTTAAATATAACTATAGAATTATTCTTTTTCCTTTTAGCTAGTAACTAACAATTTCCTAACTCAAACATCATATAAAATATGAACATTATGGCTCACTCGTAAAGTCTGTGAGTTTAGGCTGCTAATTAGCAGTTTAAAAGAGAGCAGACATCTTACAACACTGTCATAGTTGAAGGGAGCTAGGTGGGGAAGCCAAGCACACTTTGTGTTTCATTTCCAGGAATTGGTGACACCCTAGGTCTCCTGTAAAGAGTTTTTCTAATGCACAGCTATTGTGCCAGTGAAATGTTAGATCTTCTTACTTAAAGTTTTACAAAAACTTTAGTATTTTTTAAGGGAAAAGTATGGAGATTAAAAAAAAATCAAAGCAATTATCAAACTCTTTTATTGCTTTTCGAGTATTAGATAGCATGTAAAGTATTTCCAAGTCATAAAGCTGAAAGCAGTAGGTTAATTACAGACACTCAAATGCTCCCTTTCTCCCAGCTGAATTTTAATATAGTTGTGGGCAGTCCAGAGCTCAGAGTAAAGTGTAGCTGACTATTCATGGTATATAATACAGAAAGCATCAACCATGGATTTCTTTTTATTATAATCATGTTTTCTTATCTGTATAGATGAAAAAGAGAAATTATCTTAGCACATAGTCATATGATATATATTTTCACTGTAATAGGAATCAAATTACATCCTACCTAATATAAATTTTCATAACATGTATAGTCCTTGCTTTTAAAAACACATTCAAATTTAAAAAGTAGCTGTCAGATATGTTTAGTTTCCTGAAGTTCTTTATAATCATAAAGGAAGATTTTTTTTTAAAAATGGGGGTGGTTCCTTCATAAATCACAATAACCTAATTTATTGAAAACTTACTTCATAAAGTTATTTAAAACATAAAAAGAAAGTGTGCCTTTTGAGTAAATTCATGGGCTTGGATTTTAGTCATGGCTTTGACCTCTTGCAAATTTTCTAAGTTCTTTAACCTTTTGAAATCCTAGTCTACAAAAAAGAGTATTAATACCTACCTCTTAAGAGTTTTAAACTTAGGATGAAAATGATCTGCTAAGTGATGCCTAGTGAACAGATCTACTCTATCCTAATCTTGCATTCACTTGGAACAGTAGTAGAGCATAGTGGTTATGAGGATGGGCTGTCAAGCTAGAAAATCAAAGTTTAAATTCTGATTCCAAGATTTAATACTTGCATGATTTTAAATAAGCTTTTTAACATATCATTTGTGTTCATTTCCTTATACGGAAGTGAAACTGACACCAGTTTCTACATCATTGGTTGTTAGAGAGACTCATAAATTAATATTTCTAGAGCGCTGGAAATTATGCCTAATACTCGGCAAATAATACATTTTGTAGCTATTAGTCACACTCATCAATAATATTGTGGCAAATACTGATAGTAGAGATTGTTTTAACAGAATCAATTCTACTTAATTGGTATTAGAAGATAAGTATTAAATCTGGCCAGAAATGGTAAATTTAGACAGCTGTCTGTTTAAAGAAAAAATAAGCTACAAAGAAGAATTCATTATGGGACTAAGACAATCCATTCTTTTCTAGATCTTTCTTTTTTCTTATTTAAATTAAATTCCTCCATCAAAACAGATTTAATATTGAAATATAACTAATATATGAGTTATTATTATAAAATTCTTTATCCTTCATCTTTATTAGTTTGGGTAATTGATTAGGTAAAGCCTTGCTTGGAAGTCATATATATGCATAAAAAATTAAGAAATTACAAAAAAGAAATTACCCTGTATTAAACTGAGAAATGTAGAATTCTGAAGGACATGAAAATCCAGAACTTATTTTAAGGATAAGTCACAACGGTTAGAAAAGCAGGAATAAATTAAACCCAAAAGTAGTAGAAAATTCCAAAGTAAAAAACCAGAACATTAACTGTCAGCACAGATCAAATGTGAGTTACACAAGGAGTACAAGGATGGTTCAAATATACACAAACCAGTAGATGTGATATGTTAAATCAAGATAATAAAGGGCAAAAACATAATGATTATCTAAATAGACACATGAAAAACATTGAACAAACATATTATCCCTTCATAATAAAGATTCCAAACAGAAACATCTTTTCTTTTATTATAATATAATGATATAGTACAATATAATTATCTCATTTATCCCTCCTTTCCCTTTCATTACTACATCCCTACCTGACACCCTTCCTTACAACCCCCTCTACCCTTCTTACAACCCCCCTACCCTCCTTACAACCCCCCTACCCTCCTTACAACCCCCCTATCCTCCTTACAACCCCTCTACCCTCCTTACAACCCCCTCTACCCTCCTTACAACCCCCT